TTGCCATGCAGGAATGTGGCAGTATTCTTCCATTTTCAAGAAAAGGTGGAAATCTGGATTTTTATGTGAAATTGCCTCAATTTTAAATATTGGCAACTACTTCAAATATTTTTAGACCCCAGGGAGGGGGAAAAACAATTCATTTTGTTTTTAACTGGGTTTGGTCGTTTAGCTAACAGTTTGCTGCCTCTAATACTCATAGCATCTGGATGTTTGGAGACCAATGCTGTCTTTTAAACTCATTGTCTATGTCTTAACCCTAAATTATTATTTGCAAACACCCAGAAGAATGAAGGAAATGAGTTTGGATAAAATGCACGTTTATGGCACCTACAATCAGACAACAGATTCGATTTCTCCTATTTGCCAAGCACCATACAATATGCCCTGATGTATTAAAGGAATGAGATATATAAGCCTCTATCCTGGAGTTCTTATGGTATTTGGGGAACAAGAAAACAGGCACCCAGAATGCGTGTGTGCTTGGGAACATTAGGATCCACCCTTTATTGGCTAATATAAGATGTAAACCCCGGAAACTGGTTTGTGTGGAATTCTCTCATCAGATTAAAAAGCACAGTATATATAAATTACTTCCTATATAAAAGTTCTGAGACAAGTGCTTGCTTCCTTTTCTAAAAATTACTCAGTGTTTCAGGCATACAAAGACTATAGCAAACCGTTCAACAGTGGTGTACCCAGCACCCCGCTTACAGACTCAAACAGGTGTTGGCAGACTTTCTTGCCAGATATTAACTATCTTCACCTTTATGGGCCACATATGGTCTCTTTCGAGATGACTCTACTCTGCAGTTGTACCATGAAAATAACCATGGCTAAGACAGTCAACCAATGAGCAGAGCTGTGTTCCAATAAAACTTTACTTATGGACACTAAAATTTGAATTTCACATCACTTTCAAGTGTCATGAAATAGTATCCTCCTTTTGATTATTTTTCAACCATTTAAAAATGTGAAAGCCATTCTTAACTTACAGGTCACACAATAACTGTCCATCAGCTGGATTTGGCCTATGGGCCATAGTTTGTGCCAACCTCTGAACTAAAACA